GACGAAACCTCGCACGTCCGTGGGTCCAAATTTTTGTCGGTGCACCATTTGAGAACACAGACCATTTTGCAGCATAGAGCTTTCTGGTAGAATCCGCTCTGGCGTGTTTGATCGTGTTCAGAACCCCTTCTGGCAATTCGACGCGTAGTCGTTGGTCACCCATGCATGAAGCGCCCAGCGCTGTGGATGGGGATGCCAGATCGAGCCGCGGGCTTGAGTGAGGAGATCTGCTCTGATTGGAATGGGCCACGGGGCTGTCTGTGACAGCCGCGTTAGCTCCGGGAACCAAATCTGATTCTCCCAGCGCGGGGCTAAGAGGAGGCACCGAGTGGCGTGAGTCCCTGATTCTCTGAATGACCTGGGGTAGCAGAGAAATCGGGGGAAAAGCATAGAGCGGGCGGCGGGCCAATCCTGGGCTAGCGCGTCCTCGCTCTTTGAGAAGAATATGGGCAGTGAGCATTCTCTTCTGACGCGAAAAGATCTTCTCCGCTCTGCCGAATAGGCGCCACAGCGTTTGGACTGTTATGAGTGTGCAGGGACCATTCTCCGGGGGAGACAGGTTCCTGGACAGCATGTCTGGACCGTCGTTCAGATGGCCCGGTACGTGCGTCGCTCTGAGCGAGAGCAGGTGACTCTGGGACCACAATAGGATGCGGCGTGTCAGATGAAAGAGATTCTTGGATCTGACGCCGCCCCTGACGGTTGATGTATGATACCCCGCCATATTGTCGGAGCGAATCAGGACGTGGTGACCATTGTATGCGCGGGAGGAAAAAGAGCAGCGCGTTCTCGACCGCGATCATTTCCAGACAGTTTATGTGAAGGGAACTCTCGTGGCTCGACCACTGGCCGGCGGCCGGTGAGCCCTCGCAAACCGCACCCCAACCCGAGTTGGATGCGTCTGTCGAGATGACTTTCCGGCGAGAAAAAGTACCCATAACGCCCCTCTGAAACCACTCGATTACTGACCATGGCTGCAGTGCAGTGATGCATGTCTGAGTAATCTTGATCATCTGGCGGCCCGTCGTCCACTGCGCGTGGGATACGCGGCTCTTTAACCAGAGTTGAAGGGGGCGCATGCAGAAGACCCAGCTGTAGCACAGTGGAGGCTGAAGCCATATAACCCAGCATCCTCTGAAAGGAGGCGGCTAGGGCGCTGAACACGGCGCGCGCGCTGTGTGGATAAGCGAGCCGTCATAGTGACAGAGTTCAAATCTATTCAAGGAATGAAATAGTTTGACTGGGCTGGAGAGAGCTCTTTGTCCAGTTGACAGAGAGTCCAGCGCTTCCAGATGGTTGAGGAGAACTGCGCGGTGCGACAGAAGCTCCGTCTGGAATCTGCTGAATCAGCCAGTCGTCCAGATAATTCAGAATGCGCAGCCCCTGACTTCGAAGGGGAACGAGCGCTGTATCCATGCACTTCGTGAACGTACGGGGTGCTAAGGACAGGCCGAACGGAGAACGGCATATTGGTAAACTTGACCCTCGAAGGCGAAACGTAGGAATGGCCTGTGATGAGGGTTTATCTGGATCTGAAATAGGCGTCTTTCAGGTCTAGAGAGATGAACCAGTCCCCCTGGCGGACGTGCGCGAGGAGTTTCTTGACTGTGAGCATTTGAACGGTCTCTTCATGAGCGCTTTGTTCAAAGCCCTGAGATCTAAGATCGGCCTGAGGCCGCCGTCTTTCTTGGAACCAGAAAATAACGGCCGTAAAACCCCGACTCGGTCATAGATGGCGGGACTCTCTCTATAGCGCCCTTCTGCAGTAGCTTGGCTATTTCTAAGCGAAGCTTGTTCATAGCAGCCGGGCTGACAGTGGATCGAGCCGCACGCGCAAGCGTGGCGGGCGGCGACGAAACTGTAATCGATAGCCATTCTTTATTATGCTTAAAACCCACGGGAGATGCCGGGGATGGCTTCCCACGCTTCGCAGCATGCGGCTAGCGGTTGAATGGCGATTTCGCCCTGCTTGCTGCACATAGCGGGCTGGACACTGGGTGTGGGCGCGCTTATAATGTGGATGGCAACGGGACTTACACTCAGAGAGGAGTTTATGGGCCGTGTGACAGAGCGGGCAGAGGGGGGACACGCGCACGGGCTCGTGGGCGTGCTTATGTTCTCTGCTACTGGAGCGGAAAGTGCTCGCTCCGTGAAAATGGCTCTGTGTGAGACCGGGGCATATGGTACTTGTGTGTATACGTGAGCACATGCTTGTGGGCACATTTTTTACACTTGAGGCTTTTATGGCTCTTTTTGTGAACTCTCTGGTAGCCGTGAAAACGGCTTTTTAGTCGCTCGCAAGCGGGCAGGGAAACCGGCTGTGATTGTGGCGGTGAACTCTACTGTAGTCGGCGGTGAGACGGGGACTAACAGTGGGCGAAGCTTGACGGCGGTCCGGCCGCAGCGGGAGAGAGCCGCCTTTTTCTCAGCTGTGCTAGGCAGACTTCTGTTGATCGGGCTTCAGCGCGATCTTGGGTCGAGGCCCCCGGGGAGGAGGCTGTCTGCGGCGGCTGTCAGAGCGAGAGCGAGGGCGGCCGCCCTGTCTACGCTGGGCTGCTGAGCTTGCTGAGGCGGGCGCTGCTGTGGGGTTCTGGCAGGTGGCTCATGAGAGCGGCCTGCCGAAGAGCTAGAGCGGCGGGGCAGGAACAAGTTCATGGCCTGAGTCGCTTTCTGTACCTCGGAGAAGCGGTCAACGATGCCCGTGACGGCAGATCCGAAGAGCCCGGTCGGAGAGATAGGCGCGTTGAGGAACACGGCGCGTTCTGAATCTCCCATGTCGGTAAGCGTGAGCCATAAGTGTCTCTCAGCAACAGAGGGCGGCCATGCATCTCCCCAGGGCTTGTGCGGCGGCTTTAGTGGCGCGAAGGGAAAGGTCCGTAGCGCTTCTCAGATCCGAGAGGATGGGCGGGTTCCTACCGCTGTTCGCCATTTCGCACAAGATGTCGCTCTGGAGCACCTGGAGGACTGACATTGAATGCAGCGCTGAAGCGGCCTGTCCGGCGGCGGCATAGGCGCGGGCATGAAAGTTAGAGGTCGCTCTGCACGCTTTTGAAGGAAGCGTAGGGGAAGAACGCCATCTAGCAGAGGGCGGGCAAAGATGAGCGGCGACCGAGTCCTCAACGGGCGGCATGGCAGCATAACCCTTCTCGGCGGCTCCGTCCACTGAGCGCAGCGAAGCGGACACATCGGAGCGGTTACGAGCCGAGAGAGGGGCATTCCAGGACTTCGTGAGCTCATTGTGAAGCTCAGGCAGGAATGGTGCAGCCCAGCTGCAGGCGGGGGCCGGTCGCCGGTGCAGGAACTTCCCATCCATGCGGTTCGGTGGTTGCTCGGGGGGAGGAGACCACTCGAGACCCAGGCGGTTGACGGCCTGCGAAAGGAGGCGCGTTAGTTCCTCCTCGATGCCGGCGCGGGTTCCCGCAGACTCTCTCGTCGATGAGCCGATCGACGACCAATCCTCGCTGTCAGAAGCGTGCAGCGAACAGGAGTCTTTCTCATCCGCGGTGTCGTCGGAGGCGACAGAGCGGCCACTCGGCGGCAACTGAATGTCCGGCTGGGGCGGAGAGGGAGAGTGGTCGGTGGGCGGCGGCGGCGGGCCACATGGATCCGCAGGGGGCTCCGGCGGCCTCTGGGAGCGGTGTTTCTTCTTCCGCGGCAAAGTGAGAGGCGGCGCGGGAGCGGTTTTGACCGCCTGCAGTCGAGCCCGCAGGGAGGACAGAGGCAGGTCCTCGCAGTGGTCGCATCCTCCGTTGGCGAGGGCGAGCTCTGCGTGTTCCACTCCGAGACAGAGAACGCAGATGGGGTGGCGGTCTCCTTCCTCGAGTGGAGAGCGGCATGAGCCGCAGGAAATTCAAGGCATCTTTAAAAAGACGCTCGGCTCTTTTAGTGAAATGGAATAAAAGGATACGCGTCGGATGGCGCTAGCTTGCTGGGCGGCTGAAGGTGGCAGACGGCCGGCTTCCTCAGACTCCGGAGCTCGCTAGAAGGTGCCTTCTCGACGACGGCGGCTTCTTCCCAGGACAGCGGATGCGTGTAGCTCGCTGAATGAAAAAGAATCGACGAACTAGCCTGGGAGAGCTACCTTTATACACTGTAGCCACGCCCCTTTTGGCGGGCTGTGACGCAGTGAGCGAGCGCCGTCCGCTCATTGGCCGTGGACTCAGCGCCGCTCTCCCATAGGTTCGTGCATTCTCTCTGAGCGAACCAATGAGCCGCTAGCTAGCCCGCTCATGGTCTGCCTCAGAAGAGACTGCGTTGACAATGATTACAAAATTATGGAATAATTTTTTGGCTTCAACTTCTCAGCAAAGATGAATCTTTCCCGTAGCGTAAGCTAGCTTACGCAATACGAGAGAACCTCTCGTAAGAGAACTTCATTTAACATCAGAGTTTTTGCTGTGTGAGTTCACGAGCGGAATAAAAATATGTCAGGACTTTTACTTTCTGACCCCTGGACTTTCCACCTCTGCTTGATGGTAGGGACTGATTTGACTTTGTGTGTGATATTGTGAGCCAGCAGTAACTGCAAGCTCTCTGAGTTCATTTAAAGTTTGTAATTTCATAGGTTTTACTCGATAAAGTGAAGTTTAAACTAGTAAAGTATTTTAATGCAGTGTAAAGTTTAATCGTGTATTAAGAAATATCCTTGTTTAGTGGACAAAAATAAAATAAGTTTAGAGCACTTATAACTAATGTTTTTATAACTTACTTGAATTGAGGTAACCAGTGTCTTCAAATTAAATGAGTAAGCTGAATTTGTTGAACTTGTTAGGTTTTGTGGTGTATCAAATTAAATAAATATATATTTTTTCTTTATCAGGGTAAAAACTGAGATATTGGAACACTGAGAGTCAGTCCAGACCCAACACCTGCAACAAACTGAAGCAAAAGACTGAAAAATGAATCAAGTAATTCACAAACTCCATCTTCAAGGCAGGCAACACATACTGAGAGCTGCAGATGTTCTCCAGATAACTGAACATTCAATACAGTCCCATGAGTCTTGTGTTGAAGAGGAGCTTGTTCAGACTTTCATACAAAAACTACTAATACATAACTATAGGGCAAGATACATTAAAAAGAACAATGAGAAAGATCAAACACTTCAAAGAGGCAATGACTCGTCTGAAGATGAGAGTGATATTTTTGATGATGTTCTTAAAAACAATGAATCAAGTCAATCTGAGCAAATCCACCCGATGGACGTTCAGATGGCCGTGTTTCATTGTGCTGATGGTTTCCTGAAGCAGTTGATGGTCACTAAACTGTCCCAGTGTCAGTACGCTCTGCCTCTGCTTGTTCCTGATCCAGACACACAACAGATTGAGTTTCCTCTCTGGACATTCAGACAAATCAACAAGAGCTGGAAGATGAGAAACACCAACAATGAGATCATCAGTCAAACCCATCCGGTCTACAAGGCACAAACTCCAATGGTGTCTTTCTTCAGGTTTGGCTCTGTGTCTTCATCCAAGTCTCAGCTGATGAACAGTCTGATCAATGAGAAACACAACACGTTCTTTCACAGGAACTGTCCAGGCAGCAGCAGAACCAGAGTCCTGATGGATGGAGTGGTGGAGATCGCCTGGTTCTGCCCCTCTGGGAAAAACACGGATAAATTCACGGACTGTGTTGCGTTCTGTAATCTACACGGTGATGCAGGAGATCATGAGAAACAGCTGCAGATCCTCACTGAAATGGCCTCAGTCAATGTTGTTCTTCTACCACAACTTCAGAAAAATGACAGAAGTGCAAGAATAATGCAAGGTCTGTATCGTAACAGAAAGCCACTAATTTGTCTTTTTACTGAGGATGAATCTACTCTAACTAAGATGAAGAAAGGAAAATTCAAAATTGGTCTGAAGGACAGAAATCAGTCAGAAGTATCTGACGAACTCAAAAGAGTCATAACTGATTGTCTCTCAGAATCATCTTCCACTTTCAGACTTGAAGATTTGTCCAAACACTCAGACATCAGAGTAGATGAGGAAGATGATGAAGACTGCAGGAGAGGAAGAGAATTAGCACAGCAGATGATGAGTTTACTGGAGAAGAAAGAGCTGACAGAAATCAAAGACTCATTTCTGCCTCATCAGGGGAAACTGTGGCATCAGTGGAGTCAGAAGAACAAAGAACTACATCGACCTCGATCTGATGAACTAGAAATGGACATCAGAAGGAAACAAACAGATATGAATAAGATCCGTAAACAGCAGCATGAATTTGACATCAGTGAGTTTATGAAATTGTTCATTAAAGAAATTAACCCGCATGCTGCAAATAATAATATTGTTTTTTTCCTAAAATGGCTCAGAATCCTCTTGGATGAATATACATCAGCTGACCTTTTTGATTTACATGACAAGTATAATGAAAAGTGGTTAATGGTCTTAAAACTAAAAGAAAAACATGAACTAGAAAAACTGAAATCTGAACAAGCAGAACTTGAGAGAATATCTGAGGATCTTCAAGCTGCATCCTTTGGTTTGGAGCACATCATGAGGGAGATCGGTCAGATCTATGAATCATGTTCATCTGTGAAGAAGAACAAGAAAGATCTGCAGTTTGACTTCTCTTCTCTCCCGAGTCTCGCAGCAGAGATGATGATCTCTGGATTTCCACTGGAGCTGATGGATGGAGATGCTGCTCATATTCCTGTGATCTGGATCTCTGCTGTTCTAGATAAACTCATCCAGAAACTGGGAGACCAGAGAGTCTTTGTGCTGTCAGTTTTAGGGATTCAGAGCTCTGGGAAATCCACCATGCTGAACGCCATGTTTGGACTGGAGTTTGCCGTCAGTGCTGGCAGGTGCACCAGAGGAGCTTTCATGCAGCTGGTCAAACTCTCAGACGAGATGAAAACACAGATGAAGTTTGACTATATTCTGGTTGTTGATACTGAGGGTCTTCGTGCTCTAGAACTGGCTGGAAGATCAACAAGACATCATGACAATGAATTGGCCACATTTGTTGTTGGTCTTGCAAATCTGACCTTGATCAACATCTTTGGAGAAAACCCATCTGAGATGCAGGACATTCTTCAGATTATTGTTCAGGCTTTCCTGAGGATGAAGACAGTAAATCTGAATCCCAGCTGTGTGTTTGTGCATCAGAACGTGTCAGATGTCACAGTTAGAGAAAGAAACAAGGAGGGAAGGAGACGACTGCAGGAGACACTGGATGAGATGACAAAACTCACTGCTGAAGAAGAAATCTATGATGCAGAATGTTTCAGTGATGTCATTAAATTTGATGTTCAGAATGATGTGAAGTATTTCTCTCAGCTCTGGGAAGGAAACCCACCGATGGCACCACCAAACCCAAACTACTGTGAGAATATTCAAGAACTAAAGAAAACTATTATGTCTCATGCCTCAAAGTCACATGGAACGATGCTGATAGACTTAAAAGATCGTATTAAAGATCTCTGGGAGGCTTTACTGAAGGAACGATTCGTCTTCAGCTTCAGAAATTCTCTGGAGATTTCAGCCTACAGGAAACTGAAGACAAAATACAGCAAGTGGTCCTGGAGTCTTCGCAGTGCCATGATGGAAATTGAGAAAAAAATACACAACAAAATAGAAAATGAAGCAATTCATGAGGTTGAGGAAAATGATCTTCAAAAAGAACTGAAGAAGACAAGTGAAGAAGTGGAGAAATCAATGTTTAAATTCTTTGAGAAAGATAAAGATAAAGATATACTGATTCAGTGGAAAACATCATTTGAAATCAAAATCAAAGGCTTTCAAGAAAACATTGTAAGAGGAACAAATAAGAAATTAAATGAGATTCTTCTTCAGCAGCAAAAGCAGAAGAAAAACACAGACGGGATGACACATTATGAAAACACTCTCTATGAAAAGAGCGACGACATTGCTCTACAAGCCAAAGACAAAACAGATGATGAAGAAACACTTAAGAAAGATGATGAATATGTGTCCAAACACTCAGACATCAGAGTAGATGAGGAAGATGATGATGACTGCAGGAGAGGAAGAGAAGCAGCCCAGCAGATGATGAGTTTACTGGAGAAGAAAGATCTGAGAGAAATCAAAGACTCATTTCTGCCTCATCAGGGGAAACTGTGGCATCAGTGGAGTCAGAAGAACAAAGAACTACATCGATCTCAAGCATATGAGACAGAAAAGGATATCAGTAGAAAACAAACACAAATGCATGAAATCCGTCAACAGCAGCATGAATCTGAAATCAGTGAGTTTATAAAAATCTTCATAAAACAAATGAACTTACATACTCAACGTGAGAATGAGTTTTTCATCAAATGGCTTGGAATCCTGCTGGATGAACATACATCGGCTGATCTTTCTGAGCAGATCAAAGCTGAACAAGCAGAACTTGAGAGAATATCTGAGGATCTTCAAGCTGCATCCTTTGGTCTGGAGCACATCATGAGGGAGATCGGTCAGATCTATGAATCATGTTCATCTGTGAAGAAGAACAAGAAAGATCTGCCGTTTGACTTCTCTTCTCTCCCGAGTCTTGCAGCAGAGATGATGATCTCTGGATTTCCACTGGAGCTGATGGATGGAGATGCTGCTCATGTTCCTGTGATCTGGATCTCTGCTGTTCTAGATAAACTCATCCAGAAACTGGGAGACCAGAGAGTCTTTGTGCTGTCAGTTTTAGGGCTTCAGAGCTCTGGGAAATCCACCATGCTGAACGCCATGTTTGGACTGGAGTTTGCCGTCAGTGCTGGCAGGTGCACCAGAGGAGCTTTCATGCAGCTGGTCAAAGTCTCAGACGAGATGAAGACACAGATGAACTTTGACTATATTCTGGTTGTTGATACTGAGGGTCTTCGTGCTCTAGAACTGGCTGGAAGATCAACAAGACATCATGACAATGAATTGGCCACATTTGTTGTTGGTCTTGCAAATCTGACCTTGATCAACATCTCTGGAGAAAACCCATCTGAGATGCAGGACATTCTTCAGATTGTTGTTCAGGCCTTCCTGAGGATGAAGAAGGTCAGACTGAATCCCAGCTGTGTGTTTGTGCATCAGAACGTCTCAGACATCATGGCTGGGGAGAAAATCATGGAGGGAAGGAGACGACTGCAGGAGATAATGGATGAGATGACAAAACTCACTGCTAAAGATGAAGTCTGTGATGCAGAATGTTTTAGCGATATCATTATATTTGATATTCAGAATGATGTGAAGTATTTCGCTCATCTTTGGGAGGGAAACCCACCGATGGCACCACCAAACCCAAACTACTGTGAGAATATTCAAGAACTAAAGAAAACTATTATGTCTCATGCCTCAAAGTCACATGGAACGATGCTGATAGACTTAAAAGATCGTATTAAAGATCTCTGGGAGGCTTTACTGAAGGAACGATTCGTCTTCAGCTTCAGAAATTCCTTGGAGATTTCAGCCTACAGGAAACTGGAGACCGAATACAGCAAGTGGTCCTGGAGTCTTCGCAGTGCCATGATGGAAACTGAGAACAAACTACACAACAAAATAGAAAATGAAGCAATTCATGAGGTTGAGGAAACTGATCTTCAAACAGAACTGAAGAAGACAAGTGAAGAAGTGGAGAAATCAATGTCAGAATTCTTTGAGAAAGACAAAGATAAAGATATTCTGATTCAGTGGAAAACATCATTTGAAATGAAAATCAAAGAGCTTCAGGAAAACATTGTGAGAGAAACAAAGAAGAAATTAAGTGTGATACTTCAGCAGCGAGACCTGAAGAAAAAGATTGATGCTCAGAGGAAACATCATGAGAACGCTCTCTATGAAAAGAGCAAAGAACTTCCCTTAAAACTCAAAGACAAAGCACAAGATGAAGAACATTTGAAGAAAAAAAGTGATGCTGAGAGGACACATCATGAACATACCCTTTATAAAAAGAGTAAAGAAATTGCCTTAAAACTCAAAGAAAAAGCAAATGATGAAGAAACAATGAAGAAAGAATTTGACTTGTTTTGGGATCAGAGTGTGAAGAAGATCATCACAGACACTCTTCCAATCAAAGACATTGACCTAATGAGAGATGCAAGAGACATCCTCAGTGATGTCAATGAGGGGCACCTCTCTGTGGACCACAATAAAGACGACAGTGAGTACATCAATATTTTCACTGTGTCCAGTTACAATGAATATATTAGTTTTAAAAAATCCACAAAACGTTCGCCTTTAAAGGGTGCTTACAGAAAATTTAAAAAAAAAATTGGACACAGTCGAACTCTGTCTCGAGAGAAGGAAGCTCAAATCAAGTCATTAGTCACAGATGTTGACCAGCAGACAGACAAGATGATTGAGTCATTTAACATTTCAAAGATGGGCTACAACATCAGCTACATTAAACAAATCACAGATTACATCAAGGAAAGAGTAACAGAACATCAGGAAGGATCAGAGAAATATGAATTCAAGAATGAATTCTTCGTGGATTTGGTTCTTTCCATCTGTAAGAGAGCAAATGAGACGATCACTGACCAACACAGAAAGTACAAGGAAGCAATATATGTTCAGAAGAGAGAAGAACAGTACAGTATTTTCCAGAAATACTGTCATGGAGCAACATCAACAGCCATTTTTGGAGAGCTCGTCTGTCAGAAACTGAAAGAGCCCATTGAGCAGAGTGTCTACAAGAAGACTGCCAGAGATCTGACGGATGAAATGAGATCAAACTGTGAATCACTGAAAGGAAACAGATCAAATCTGGAAAAACACATCCTGAAGACACTGGCAGAAGAGGAGGATTTTGACAAATACATGAACTACATTAAAACTCCCAGAGATCACTTCAAGAGTTTCATCAGAGATGAAGTCAGTCGGTACATCACTGATAAGTTCAGTGTCAGTGTTTTACCCAAGATGGAGAAGAACATTAAACTCCTGCAGCAGAAGATCATGAAAGCAGCACATGAATCTACTGATCATGTTCAAGTGAACAGAGGAGATGTTGGATTATGGTTGAAGAGTTTCACACAGCAGCTCTCAGACGTGCTGATCTTCTCTGAAAAAGACCTCAGTGGAGTCAAACATGATGATGTTGAGGATTTCAGCTTCCTAGAAGATGTGATGAAAAAAGAACTTCCTGCTATAATGTCTGATATCTACTGTAAATTCAACACAGAGGCATTTCCAGTAAATCTGGACTATAAATTCAGGCCAGATGAGCTTCTGATTGGTCACTTCTGTCAGTGCTGTTGGGTTCAGTGTCCGTTCTGTGGAGCCGTCTGCACTAACACCATAGAAAACCATGATGGAGATCACAGTGTTTCTTTCCATCGTAATATTGGACTAAATAGAATAAATTACAGGAATACATCTAACTTGTCTACTCATATCTGCACATCAGCAGTGGCAAGCAAGACTCTGTATTTTCATCCCAATGATTCAGATGATTTAGTTCTCTGTAGAGATTATAGAACAGCAGGAGAAGTTTATGCTAACTGGAGCATCACTCCTGATCTCTCTGAACTGCCCTACTGGAAGTGGTTTGTGTGCAGATTCCAGAAAGATCTGGAAAAATACTACAATAAAACATTTGAGGGGGAAGAAGAGATTCCAGATGGATGGAGAAAATACTCTAAACTAGATGCTATTGCGAGTTTAGAGAAATGTATCTAAAGGAAATGGTAAAGAATGAGACTCTTATGTCAGAAACTCCTCAGATCACAGTTAGAAATAAGTTTTTATTACGTTAAAGGGATAGTTCACTTTGAAATGTGATTTTTTGATATGTTTTATTTTACCTCAAGGGCATCCAAGATGTAGGTGTCTTTGTTTCCGCAGTATTTTCAATTTTGATATTTTTAGGTCAAACCGTTGTTGTCTATCAGACAAATAATGCAGGTATAGGGGTCCACGTCAAAGAGCAAGAAGTCCAAATTAAACATGATTTAATGACTTGTAAATGTAAGAACACATTGATGGCCTAAGACACGAAACGAGCGGTTTGTGTGAGAAAACGAACAGTATTTATATCGTTTTTACCTCGTGTAACACAGCCATGTCCAACTGATCTGACGGCACGGGCACTTCGGTCTGCGCATGCGTCACTCATTGTTTATACAGAGATTTCTGAAGTTTTACCTTTCACTAAATATATTTAGATAAATCGCAATGGAAGATGACTTCAAAATACTGTGGAAACAAAGACACCTACACCTTGGATGGCCTTGAGGTAAGCTAAAACATATCAAAAATTAATTTCAAAGTGAACTATCCCGTTAATCAGTGAGAGTCTGAACCTATCTACACCTAACAGAGAATTATAATTCACTGGATAAAAGGGATTTAAAGACAACATTCATTGTAAAAGTCTTCTGATCTATGGAGTTAAAAGAAATGAATGCAAATTTTCTAAATTAGAATTTTAGACAAATGTATCAAACAATTGTATGATGCATTTAAAAAAAACTGTAATTGTGTCTCTAACTGTAAAAAAAAACAAAAAAAAAACACACACAGGACAACAACTGAAAGACAAATGTATTTTAACCCCATGGTTCCTTTATGACACCAAATAAACATTCATCAATCACAGATGTGAGAAACAATGAGTTAAATCAGTTTGTTCTGGCCTTCCTGAACACCAGCTTTTTTAAACTTGAACGAAAATAAAAGTTTAACCTTGTTTTCACACAGAAGGATTCATTGTCTTTCTTGATATGGCTTTCTGTTAAGAGAAGTATTTCAGATCAATTAACATATAAACAAAACTTTGAGGTTTCTCTGCCCATGTGGACATTAGACTTATGGCAATTTTGTAGTTGCCTCTTCCCTTAACCCCTCGACTTTTTGAAAGGAGATTGTAACACAGTTCACAGTAACAGTAACAGTTAACACATCCAGGTCAATACACAGCAAGGCAGTCTGAGCGTGACAGCCCAAATACAAATCCCAAACATTAATCCAGAAATCAGACGGTTTGAAACACAGAAATCAAAGGGTGAAACACATTAAGGCAAATACAAACAGCACAAAAATGTTAGCCAGGACAAAACAAGAATTTGCACTGAGGGTATGTTTACACAACAATGATGTGCTAAATTTTCCTACTTTTATTTTATTCCTAAAAAAAAAAAAATATGAAAATGATATTATTTTTGGCTGTTAATAGTATTTTCTTATAGAGTGATATAGAGATATATCTAAAATCCCCTCTGTGTATATATAAGACTCAAACTCTCTTCAATAAAGAATCATGCCCTGTGTGAGTTGATTATACTGTATGAGCAATAATGCATTTTCCCCTGAATATTCACATAATTGCAAATGTGAAATTGATTTTACACAAGAGATTAACATACAAAAAGTGATATTAAGTGCTGTACATTTTAAACACAGTATTGTTTGATCTATTTTGCATTTTTAAGGAGAACAATGCTCTGTTTGATGCTGTCAGTGAGAAAGTGCCTTCATTTTTTGATAAGACAATTTTCCAAAAAGAGTTTTTGTCCAAAAACAATTATGACTAATTACTACATTGAGATAACATAACATAAATCAAGTTTAATGACACTGATTTCTTTGTAAGTCGTAAGGATGCATTTGTAAGTCACTGTGGATAAAAGTGTCTCCTAAATGATTAAATGTAAATGTACATTTCGCTTCAGGCTCGTTCAAGTCCTTTGGTGGTAAACGCAAGTGCACACTATCAGCAGCTCACTCTTTTTTAATTCGGACATTACTGAACGACTGACTTGCGACTGTTCATTTAGAAATGGTTCTTTGGTTCAGTGACTGGTCTAAGTAATTACTAAGAGCCACTAGTGTAGAACTTGTTCATTTGCAGTTGGGTCTCAGGCTCATGGCTGATACACTGGCTCATCTTTATACTATGTTGTTGTTGATAAATTGATGACTTAAAATGTCAATCAAAAGAAAAACAATTATCTGGTATCATGAAGAAATATAATCACAATTGGAAAACTAATGTTAGGAATATTAAATTGTTTTAGTAACATCATGAAGTAAATTGTCTACTTATAATTCTAAGTCTCAAAACCTTCTTCTGAAAAAACTTGAATTAATTTTCAATAAAAAAAATAGCACAGAAGCAAAGATCTTTGGGTTTATATATTTAATTCGATACCAACATTTCAGCAGTTTGTACCAACACCAGTAAAATGTAATTATTCTTGGTACCAATTTCGGAACCATAGCAAAACCTATTGGAACTATTTAACTATTTTAAAATAAAGAAAATATTAAATTAATTCATTATTAATGATAATAATAATTACATGTAAATAATACATTAAAACAGCAAGTAGTCTTGATTTTTTTTTTAAGCTAAGTAAACATTTCTTTACAAAGTAAAAATTCATTGGAGTTTCGGATTCAATCCTACACTTAAATACGGTTATAACAGTGTAATGTGTAATTAGCAGCATGAAAAATACAACTTTTCTTCAAATTGTAAATTGGCAAGCAAAAAAACACTCCCATTATAATCACTCAAGCTGTCAATCAGAGTTCTGCACTCCTGCAAAAACCTCCCGTTATAACCAATGACGCTGCCCACACTGCACAATGCATCACTTACATTGTGTTTATAATTAAAGGATTCATAAGTGTGTAGAACATAAACTTAGGCATTTCGACAGGATTCTGACTAACTTAAACTTAAACATGTCTGATTGGCCACTGCGCTCACATGCTCAATAGTCATGTCAGTGATTGGCTGCAATGCTTCAAAAAACACATTGTAAATAGAAACACTGAATACTTTTCACGAAGCATAAATATTGAATGCTCAGGTGTGTTTAAATGCAGCCGCCTATCAGCGGTACCGAACTGACCTAGTACAGGTACTTTTGTGAAATTTCAGTACAGACTGAAGTACCAATTCTTTTGACACTAACACTAAGGGCCAATCCCAATTCTACCCCTTACCCCTTGACCCTTGAAACAGAGTGGCAAAGCGTAGGGGTGAAAATATTCCCCTAAGAAATGGGACACCACTACGCCTCCGTTAAACGTCATTATATTATAGCGCCTACGTCACTGGAGATGCGCTGATGTTTATCACAACTTCCAAGATGCCGTCGACAGCTGCAGTTATTTCAGTCGCGTGGGTTACAGCTATTTTCTTGCATTTATCTTGTGAAGTTCGCAGGAAACAACGGAGACGACGAAAATATGTTGCGGGACTATCGTTAGCAAACTACAGTAATTTTAGCGATTTTTTTTTTTTTTTTTTTTTTTTTTTACAAACGTTTCTGTGAAGAAACTAACCGTAAATATGAACACAATATTGAATGTAACATAAAGCAAATCATTATTTGTCGTTACAATACTTATTAAAGCCACAAATACTTAAATTTATGGGTCTCCTTTGTCGCTTGGGCAGCCAGCCTGGGTTAGCAGTGACACTTCTCATACCCCTTCGTTTGAAGTGTGCTCCCGAAAAATCTTCGTTTAAAGGGCTATCTGGCCCTTCCCCCTAGCCCTCCCCCTCCAACCAAAAGAGAATTGGGACAGCCCTACCCCTTCACGTGGACGCGCAAAATGGAGGGGAAGGGGAAAGTGAAGGGGTAAGGGGTAGAATTGGGATTGGCCCTAACACTAGTCACAATAGACAGCAAGTCCTCTGTAATCATCCGAAAACAATTGAACCGCCTCATCTGAGTTTTTTTTCGGATATGACTGAATCACTGACTTTGACTCTGCCAAATTCATTTATTTTGAACTGGTTCTTTGGTTCAATAACTGGTGTAGTTGCTATCAAACTAAAGTCTGGTTCATTTAGATTTTGTGAACCAGCTCGACCAATTCAACTCAAAGAACGATTTGTTCAAGAATCAGACCTCACTAGTATCTGGAGTTTCTCCTGTGGGAATGGAATCAGCTCTACCCCCAATGAGTCTCTTTTATGTTTGAGGAATACGTCACCAAACATTCTGGTGAACATCAAAAGGAGACTAAGAAAGACCAGACTTCTCAGAGGTGCTTGGGCCTATGACCTCCAGGAGGGATTTCACAACTGATGCAACTCTTCTATCAAATGCAACTCTTCTATGAGATGAAATGTAACAGGTAAAATTTTCAAATCATGACACCAGAAGAAAGGAAAGACAGTTTCAGTGAAGGTGGTTGTGAATGTGTGTAGCTTTGTGCTAGTTACAGGATCAGAGAATGACACCGTTCCTCTGTCATAGTCCAGGTGAACTCTCACACGCTCAAGCTTCTCTTTCACAGGAAAACCAAACCGCTCATCCAGTCCGTACTGCACCCACCAGACACCAGAGTTAAAGAAAACACCTCCCTTCCTCTGGTTTGATGCTGTAGTTACTCCAAGACTCCAGTACAAACTCTCTTTGACCTCCACATCCCAGCAGTGTGTTCCTGAGTTAAAGCCCTCTGAACCCAGAACACACGAATACTCATCAAACCTCTCTGGATTATCAGGAAGTGGTTGACTGTTCAAGCTCCATCTCACACTGGTCAGATCATCCGACAGGACTAGATGTGACTGAGCCGAGTTTGGATCCAGAATAACAGGAGCTGATGAGACACAATCAACAGATGCTTTTATTCTGATGTTCATATAATGATCACGAGTAGGGTTGGGTACCGAAACGCGGTGCCAAATAGGGAACCGGTTCCGACGTAAACGGTAATAACCATTCCGTATAAGAACGAAAATTTCGGTGCCTGAGTCTCTGCCATTAGGCGCACACACGCAAAGTCTCTCGCTCTCTCCCTCTCCGCCGTGCACGCACTATACGGTTTGAAGCAGTCTGATCTGTCTCGCATGCGCGCTCTTGCTCGCTCGCTCTAGATTCCGGGGGAATTTAACTAATTTGCGGGCATCAGGGAGCCGTTATCAATATGCGGGAGACTCCCGGAACGTCTGCTGATAGCGAGGGGATTAATGAAGATGCCGAAGACAAAACGCTTTAAGGATTGGCTGCATTTCACGTGTAAAATTATGCGTCAGAACGATTGTCTGAAGCCCATATAGAATCACCTCAATCCATTGGCTGATAGCGCGGGCGCCGCCTTGACACTCACATGATCATATTATATTAGCGCGCTAATCATCTGCTCCGAAAAGGAAGCTTGTCGAGAGCGCGAGGAGTTTGGCAGCGAACGCAGCGTCTTGAGATATTCAGAGAACATGGGTTACACAAGTAACCAGAGACGTTCCCTTTCATAGGTTTACTCAAAGCTGCGTAGTTTAGACGCAGTGGGAACGAAATACCAAATTCGCCAAGCTAAGCGCTGCGTAACTAGTACAATGACCAGATAACTTACATGACTGGTTCAAGCAGACAAAACATGGGAACCTGTAGCCATGTCGATATTAGATTACCCTGGTAGTAATCTCTGTTAATCTCCAGTATTATAACATTGTTTGATACAATATTGTTTTATTTGATATTATGTAAATGTGAATTTTTATTTTATATTGGTTTATTTATTATTACCATATGTTACTTGCATTTATATTGTTTAAAGATTTAAGTTAATATTGTGTCCAGTTTGGCCCTGTAAATAAAAGGGTATTATTTTTTGACAAAGTGTGTGCGGGTTCGTTTTCTTAAGTACCGTTTCAAGAACCGTTTAAAAAATACCGGTACTGGTATTGGATAAAACCCAACCGATACCCAACCCTTATCACGAGTGAACTGTAAACAGATTATTATGAATCAAGAAAATCAATTACCAAACCAATTAATCAAACACATCAGAAATTTTCCTTTGATCACGGTCAGTGTTATAGTAAACGTGCTTAAGAAACTTCAGATTTGCATTTCACGTCAATAGAAACTGATATTGACAAAACAACTGAACTCTGGAGATCTGCTATATTAATGTAACTGTAAATATTATGTTCATCTCTTGTTGGTGTACTAGCTCATCTGTAACGCTAAAATCCGTTTATCTTGCCAGTGTGAGTGTATTAGCACAGATCTTAGACTCACTGTTTTGGATGATGTCCTGCATCTTCTTCCAGACTCTGAACGGCAGGTTGCCCAAGTATCGTGGCACATGAATCAAAACTCCAGAAGCCATCTGTGGATCCGGCTGTGAGATCTGGACTCTGGAAGAACATTCAGGAGTCAGAACTGCAGTGGCTTTGGATCAGAACAAGAACAAGAACAAGAGACACCCCAGTAGATCACTCACCTTTCCATTGAAACTGGAAACTTCTGCAGAACAAACACACCATTCATCATCAAGAACTCAATTTATCATCAATAAATCAAACAATGATGTGAAATCAGACCTTCAGAAAGCAGACGTCATTGGCTTTCATCATCTCCTCCATGTCGTTGATTGCGTGTGAAAGAGCTGAGATGTGTCTGTCCATCTCCTCCAGCTTCTCCTTCATCATCTGCTTCTTCTGCTCCTCTTCCACCCTCAGTTCAGTGATTATAACTGCTTCTTCATCTCTGAGAAACCGATGAAGCTTCTCAAACTGCTGTTTAATCTGACGCTCTGTGTGCTCCGCTTGAGACTGAAATCAAAATCACATTCACTTAAATTATCTCCAAGATAAGTGGGGAAAATGTGGGTTAGTTACTGTAACTACAACTTTAACTTTCCCAA